TGCCCAAACTTCTGTATGTTTAAAAAGTTGGCTAGGTAGATCTTATTTAACCTATGTTTTGAAACAGGCAAAACAACAACAGTTCATAAATAAAAAAATTTTTAAATGCCTTTTTAAGAATATTGCAGCAACTTGTAAAACTGCTTCTACTTATCCTGAGACTTTAAGAGAAGGGATGCTATGAAACAAACTCCAGGAAGCACCAGCAAAGTAAAGAAAGAATGAGGAAAAGTGGAAAATTCATGATAGAAGTTGGTCACAAGACGGAAGGTAGAGACGCGACACTCTAGCAGACAGCTTTTTTGTTTTGTTTTGTTCTATTTTTTTTCCTTTTAGGTTGTACACAGAAGAGACACCTAGATTAGAAATAGAAAAGGAGCATTTCCGTAGGTCTCCAAGGAGAGAGAAGCTAGCAAGTAGTTATTTCTAAAGATTCTGAGAAACTGGTTATAAAAAGGTGTGAGGAGGGGCAAAGTCTATTAAGTAACTTCAGTGTACAGGCAGGATAACTGGGTGACAGTTTGGTGATAGAACCTGGGTTTCTTGGGGCTTTGGAATGAATCCTCAATGTTCTAGGATGTTAAATAGCAGGGTTAGCTTAAATACCATTATGTTAGTCATCTGTTAGAAATTTTTGTGTCTAATTGTTATTTCCTTAATCTTTATTCTTGAGTTTATTTCATTATATCTTCTGGGGGTCAGTTCTAACTTACTGTATTGAGCAAGAGTTGCTTAGTCTGTGGACTGTGGGGTTTGTTTTTTGTTTGTTTTTAAAAATTTTTTTTTTAATGTTTATTTATTTTTGAGACAGGGAGAGACAGAGCATGAACGGGGGAGGGTCAGAGAGAGAGGGAGACAGAATCTGAAACAGGCTCCAGGCTCTGAGCTGTCAGCACAGAGCCCGATGCGGGGCTCGAACTCACGGACCATGAGATCATGACCTGAGCTGAAGTCGGATGCTTAACCGACTGAGCCACCCAGGCGCCCCTGTAGACTGTGGGGTTTGATTTACCAGCTTGTTTCGTTTATTCATCTGGACACTTGACCCAGCAGAACTCTACTTCAACCAAACTAGTCCAAGAAAGATTAACCCATATCATCTTGGAGATGGCATTCTCTTTCCTGCCATGTGAAAACTATTTTATTATTATTTTTAATGTTTATTTATTTTTGAGAGAGAGACAGAGCATGAGCAGGGAAGGGTCAGAGAGAGAGGGAGACACAGAATCCAAAGCAGGCTCCAGGCTCTGAACTGTAAGCTCAGAGCCTGACATGGGGTGTGAACTCAGGAACCGTGATCATGACCTGAGCTGAAGTCAGATGCTTAACTCACTGAGCCACCCAGGTGCCTGTGAAAGGATCACTTCATTTGAATAGAGAGGATCATAAAGTTCAGTTCTCTAAAATATCAACATTCTTGCCTTGATGGTTAGTTGAAACATTTTAGACAAATAAGTATAGAACTTACTTTCTGCCTGAAATCCTAAAGTAGTTAAGGTAAAAATAAATTACCTGGTTCAGTGATTCTCAGTTCTCTATGCTCCTTAGAATTCCTTGGAGAGCTTCTAAAAATTACAGAAAAGTGGGAACAGGAAGTGAGGCCCTGATGGTGTTCTTTTTAAAAAAGCTCCCTAGGTGACTCTAATTTGTAGCCAAGATTAGAACACCAATCTAGATAGTTCAAGGCCAAAATAATGAATAAATACATAAACAAGCATGTAAATAAATCCACCCGTTTGTATTTTGAGATGTAATGATACTTGCTTGCTATTTGTCTTAAAACCACCAGTACATTTGGTTGCCTGTAGCTGTAAATTCAAACATTTTAAGATTGCAGTTAAATCCTCTTACAGTCCATTCTTAACAGACTTTTCAGGTCTCAGCTCCTTACAACCCCATTCAAGTCTTGTTAGTGCAAAGCTTTTGGAACACTCGCTACCCTTTTATTCCTCCAGGTATTTCACTTGCTGTTTTCTTTCTGTCATAACTCAACCTTCTTCTACACTTGGCAGAATGCTATTTACCTGATTAAGCCTGATTAAGAGTCATTGCCACTGTAACACTGGGGCGATCATAATATGGCTATTTTATACAATACTGATTTGTATAAATTCAAATCACTTAAATATTTCCCTGAAGAGACAAAGTCAAATTGTCCAGCGATGAATGTATGGTCTTCAAAGTCCAGCTCTTCAAAGTCCTTCTATCTAAGTATGTATCTATCACATTGCTGCTTAGTTACTCCAATAACAATAATTACTTAGGTATATCATCCCAGAAGGGGGCATTTGTTTTATGAATTATTTTACAGACACATTTGAGTTATATTCTGAAACAGTTGTAAATTCCAGTATCTTTTATTCCAACTCCTTGAATCATTTTAAGACCATAATGTATGATTTTTTTTTCTGTTTAAAATTGGATTATCCAGACTTTAAGCAAATTAGATATTGAAAATATTAGGACATCTATGTTCTTTTGATATGTTGAATTTTCACATTTGCAGTATGAGTTTCAAATAGAAATAACTGGATATAATTTCTTTTTCTTTAGTCCTTTGGCTTTGACACCACAGGAAGCCAGCTTGCTAACTCCCTGATACCTGATATTTCCCTGACTAAAAAGACTTTCTGATGAGGATCAGCATTTTCCCCAAGACAGGAGTGTGAATTCTCTTCTTCCTAAAGCTACACATGTCCCTTAAAAGAGTCCAGAACATTTCCTGCAAAACTGCCTCAGTCATCTGAGCACTTAGTACAGCTCCTTCGGAAAGGCTAAGAGATGCATCATCCCTGCAAAGGAAAAAAACAAATGCACCGTAAAACAGGCCAAGAACTTGAACATCAGCAAGATTACAGATGGGGGGGGGGGGTGTGTGAGGGGGTGTTGTAAATAAAGTTTTAAATAAAAATTTGATTTAAAAACTAACTGCTTATCCTTCAATCTACTGGCTTTGGTTTTCCAACTTCTTTCTCACTCCTGGAGTTTTTGTGAAATATACAAATGGCAGACAAACATTTGTGTTAGTACGCCGAATTTTCTTCTTTTTTTTAATTAGGAAGGTGGTTGGTTTGTTGGGGTGGTCTGTCACGAAGTCTATAATTACACAGGGTGCAATTTATACCTAGTCATAAATAGAGGAATTACTTTCCTAGGAAAATTTCAGGATCTTTTCAGGTAGGAAAAATTTCTGCAACTGAGAAACGACTCAACTTTTAGGCAAGAGCTCATTACGCCCAGGTAGTTCCATGCCGATGTGAGCTGTTGCTTTCTCTTCAAGTCGTTACTGATCTTGACCCCAGTTTCTCCATGGAACTCAATCCGGGCTGAGCTGCAGGCAATACCCCCGCTGGGTGCGGACTTCAGGCCCACCACTGGAGGGCGTCTGGACGCTTCCAAACAGCTTCGAAGCGCCTGGCAAGTCTGAGTTAGAAAACTGTAAAGACAGGAGGGAGGACGTGATATTTGATTTTATTGGGCTAATAAGTAAAGGGAGAAACAGGAAGGTTTGAAAGCAAAACTAAACTGCTTGCTTTCTTGGGATCAGCCCTTCCCACAGAGGCAGCAAACTCCCTAGAGAGCAGGAGGGACTAATATCATGAAGGCCCGAGCCCTCGGAGCCCCGCAAGGGCAAGTCTCCAGGGGTTGGTGCCCCAGAGCACCGGGCTCCGGGCTGTCTTCCCGGGCGCTAGAGGACAGGAGGACGCGTCCCGAAGCGCCGGGGACTGTCTCTCTATCAAGCGATCGTACTTCGGTGGCCGCCGGGGACCAAGGCGCTGCAACCTGCTCTAGAGGTCCGGGAACGCGAGGCCTTTTCCAATAATAAAGCAACTCCTATCCCGACCTCCGATTCTTCCCGCATAGGGTTCGTTCAAAGACTTTATCCTTCGGGGAGTGGGCAGCGAAGCAACCTCGGGGTTGAAATGCAAAAGGTGTAAGGTATTTCTGATGGACTCCCCTGCCGCATTCATTTCCTTCCTTCTGAAGGATCGCATTGAATTGTAATCACTTTATACTATGATTCTCTCAATAAAAAAAAAATTAAAAATTAAAAAACAAAACAAAACAACAAACGTGTTTTCAGAGCATCACTGTAAAGAAAAGTCTTGCTTCCTGTTCGTGAACCTTTAAGTCCCTGGTAGGAAGAGGCGAGTTGAAAGGCACCTGAGAGAAGATCAGGTTTCCAAGATAACCCAGCGCCGGGTAATGCACGTTGTGAACAGGGCAGAGATTTACAAGAACACGTATTCATTAAGGCTCCCTGCCAGTCTGTCTGCTGGGACTTCATGTCACCTGCGGGGCCTGGGAGACAGATTTTGGCTCGCCGGCTACAGGGTGGGAACCGGTCCCATTGTAACTGAAAGACCTCACTCTCAGGTAAAAAGATGTCAAATCATTCCTCAGCCCAGACGGAATTCAGCATCCAAAGGGTTACGCGCGGCTGCTGGGTTCGGGCGGAGGAGAGGGCGCCTCGGCACTCCCAGTAATTCAATTAGTCAGGTTTCTGGAAGGTGGGGCCGGGGAGGGGGATAGGAGGCGTGGGGAAGGGAGGAGATTAAGAAAACGCCTCTTTCTCGTGGAACAAACCAATCCTGTTGGAGTGAAGAGAGAGGAAAAAACCTCGACCTGTAAGCAAACAGCAGGCCGTTCCCTGACTGGCTGCTCCAGCCACCCACCCCACCCCCCGCTTTCCAAGTAAACTGCTTGGGGGGGGAAGGGGGAAAAAAAAAAAAAAAAAAAAGCAGCCCACATGACCCGGGCCGCGGCAGCAGCAGCGCTGGCTGGGCGCGGGCTGGCGGCGCCTCCCCCTGCTAGGTCCGGAGCTCACACCCGAGCTCGCGCCGCCCGCCTGCCCCGTGCCCTGCGCTACACGCCTGGGCGTCCCCCCCCCCCCACATCACCGCGCCGCCCACGTCCACGTTCACGCGCGCGGCCTTGCGCTCCGGTGCGGCGGCGGCGGCGGCTGCTGCTGCTGCTGCTGCTGCTTCTGCTGCTGCGGCTGGGTCGCCTCTGCTGTCGGCTTTACACGCAGGTCATTAACGAGGGGGCGTGCCCGAGAAGATTTTTCCCATAAAGCATTTTCTCTCTCTCTCTCTCGCTCTCTCTCTCTCTTTTTTTTTTTTTTCTCTTTTGCAAAACTGACTTTTACCTCTTTCCACTTCTCGCCAGTCATTTCAATCCCTCCCGGGCTGTTCGTGCTGTTGCTGCTGCTGCTGCTGCACTCAAGTTTATTTTCCCGCCTGGTAGAGGTTTTAGGATTCGGTTGGTGGTTTTCACCTCTTGTTGCTGCTGTGCCCAAGGAGGGAAAGAGGAGCAGCTGAAGGAGGATCGGGAAGGTTTTCTGATGTAGTCAGCGGGGAGGTGCCACTCGCTCCTGCGATCTCTCTTTTCTTCCTCTTTTCCCATTTCAAACTGATTGATGCATCTCTACAAGTTGTCGGGCTTGGGGCCGGACCGGTCGGAGTCGCAGGGACATTTCTGAGCGCTCACCCGAGGCTCTTGGCACGGCGTCTGGGGACTCAGTCTTGCTCCCAGAAGGCGATCGGAGACTGACATCAGCCCATCCAGGAGTTGGAGGGATTCATTTAAAAGTGATTGTTTTCCCCTCTCGCTCTCCAGCCTAACAGTTGGGTTGGCGTCGTCCTGCAGGCTTGGGCTTCCCAGCTCCGTCTGGCCGGCTGGTTCGTAACCTCTGCTCTTCATTCACTCTGGTGCACCCACACCCGGCCAAAAATAAAGCACGCGCGAGAAATCCCCGAGGCTCCGCCAGTGCCCGGGGTGTCGTCTCCCGCCGCCGCAGTCCGACTCCGCCGGGGGACCTGCCGGAAGACACGAAGAGCTAAACTTTTCTTCGAGGTTTGCAAGGCAAGACCGCTCCTCGCCAGCTTAGCTGCCGCTTACCCAGTTCCAGGACGCCGGCGGGGCTGGGTTTGTGGCTTCGAATCCCCACCCTACTCGGCGCACCGCCCCGAACGCGCAGCACCTACGACTCCTCCGAGATTTCCAGGGGTCTCCCGATTAAGGCACACAGAAGGAGGGGGAAGGGGTTTCTCACACTCCAAGGCCACAGGCGCGAAGCCCTCCATCCACACGGAGCCTTCCTCCTGCAGTTTCTCACCGGCCGCCAAAGTAACTTGGAGCGAAGCGGGGCGCAGTGCGAGGGCCCTGGGCGGCGGCGGAGCCGTGCGCAGCCCGCGGCGCCGACACTGAGCCGGGCCCGGCGGGCCAGTGTATGTCTCCCCGCGGCCGCGGCGCGCAACTCCCGGTGACTGTGCAGCGTGCGCCGCCGCCTGCCCCAACCCGCGGTGCCGCCGCCCGGCCCGGCGCGCACCTCCTTCTCCCGGGGTGACCGGCCTGCCGCCGCCGCTGAGACACAGCTTGGCACCCCTTCCCCCGCCCTCGCCGCCGCCACCACACACACGCATGCTTCTCTCCATCTTGTGATTCCTTTTTTCCTCCTGAACCCTCCAGTGGGGGTGCGAGTTTGTCTTTACCCCTTCCCCACCCTCCCCCCCACCTCCACCGTCTTCTCGTTCTCCTTCCCCTCCCCAGCTTGGTGTGCGCCTCTTTCTTTTCTCGCCACTCTTCATTCTTATTTATTCATATTTATTTGGCTCCTGCTCTCTTTCTCCCCTTCCCTCCCTCCCTCCGGATCCCTGCTCTTTCCCCGGAGTGGCTTGTCTGGGGCTCCGCCGCTGGCCAGGCGTGATGTTGCACGTGGAGATGTTGACGCTGGTGTTTCTGGTGCTCTGGATGTGTGTGTTCAGCCAGGACCCAGGCTCCAAGGCCGTCGCCGACCGCTACGCCGTCTACTGGAACAGCAGCAACCCCAGGTAAGGTAGTAGGGGGAGCGCAGAGCCGGGGATACTCGGGCCTCGGCGCCCTGCGGAAGAGCGGCGGTGGCGGCGGGGACCCGCGCGCACCAGCTGCAGGCGGCGCGCACTCTCGGAGCCTGCGTCGCCCGGGCGCTGATGGCTTTCGAGGAGCCCACAGGAAGCGCACCCGTCGCGCCTCTCTTTGTTAAGCTGCCTCAGAGACGCCGGGAGTCCCTGGGAGTCCCCGGGGCTGCCCAGACCCGCTGCCTCTGCAGAGCGCGGGGAGACTCGGAAAAGGCGGGAGCTGGGGAGTCGAGACTTCTCCGCTTCCTCACCGGGGCAAGCCGGCCAGCATCTCGATCCGGGCGTAGCGCCTGGGCACTGGGAGCCTCGGGTACGAGCCACCAAGAGTTCCCGCGTGGATCGTGGGTGCACAGGGGGACTGCAGGCAGAACCTTCCAAACATCCCTAAAGTTGTTGTTTTTTTTGTTGTTGTTGTTAATTTTTCTTCCCTTTCTCTGTTCAGAGAGCGCACGGGCTGGGGGATGAGAGGGGGGTTGGGGAGCGGAAGCTTTAGGCTTTTATTTTCCTCTTTAACTGCAAGGCAATCATCTGGCCCCTGGGCCACTGTTGGCCCGGCGCGCCTGGCAGTGGAGAGGATTCTCCCACCTCCTCACCCCCCATGGGCTAAGGTGCCAGAAAGTTTGATCTAATGCCGGGTTACGTCATTTGTGCGGAGCGAGCTGCTGGAGTTGGCGGAGACGGGAGGTGGGAGCTCTTAGTCCACGGCCTGGCGGTGTGCAGCCGGAGGAACACGCGCAATTACCTGGAACCGTTTTGTGGGCATCCCCGAAGCCTGCTGGGTACGCGGGAGGCTAGAGGTGGGCGCCCGGGCGCGCCCTAGCGCGCCTGCTGGACCCTGGCCACCAG